ACTACGGCTCTGTGTAGTAAATGCCGCTCCATCTGAAAGCAGGTGTTGGAGATTTACTACTATTCACGGAACCGGCTTCACTGACGAGATGCGCATGACAATAATTGCACAGCCCTAATAAGAAGTCTAAATTTGTATGAATAGCATAAATAGTAATTGTTTTTTTGAAACTCTTAACTACTGAAAGCTAAAATCCTTTTATTTTATTTTTTTTAAAGAAGAGATGTTTCAGCTTCCAGTGAATAACCTCACTCGGCTGAGGAAGGCCAGGAAAAAAGTCAAGAGACTGCTGAGTGACATTGGCCTTGACTACTGCAAGGAGCATGTGGAGGTAATTATTCTTGAATTGTCACTGTGTTTCCCAGTCATATTGAACATCAAATGCTACATCATAACACACAACTTGTGTATTAATGCTTAAAACTTAAAACTTTGCTTCGTTAATGTTATTTTCTGTCCATTTTCCTGTAGGACTACAAAGATTTTAGCCCCAGTGATTCTTACATGAAACAATTTTACCTTGACATTTGTATGTGGGATCCATCTTGGACAAAGTCACAGGTATGTCACCCATAGCCACTGCAACAAAAGTCCTCAAAGCAAAATATTTTGCATTGCATAAACATTTTGTAATTAGCTTTTTCAAATGTTGCAGGACTACAGAACAAAGCAGTTTTGCTGCTCAGATTGCCCGTTCACCTCCAAGTATTTCTCTGCCTACAAAAACCACTTCCGCAATGTTCACAGAGAAGACTTCGAGAGCAAGATCCTTCTTAATTGCTCCTATTGCACATACAGTGGGAACAAGAGGACACTGGAAACCCATGTCAGGCTCTTCCATATGCCTCACAATATGGTGCGTCAGGGTTTCGCCGGCCCTCACGGAGCTCCAATTGGGGTTAAGGACGGTATGCGGGTAGACAAGCCCTTGTTGGGTGATCGAAAGGAGCTCCCGGTGTACTACTGCAAGAAGTGCACCTATCGAGATAGACTGTACAACGTGGTGCGCAGGCATATCTACAGGGAACACTTCCAGCATGTGACTACACCTTACCTGGGAAAAAACTCAGAGAAGCAAGAAAACAGTGTAGAGGCCCCTGGCAACAGTCAGGGGATTCACTGCAAGAGCTGCCACTTTACACCTCGTTCTTATGAAGCACTGGTGCAGCACGTCATTGAGTTCCACGAGCGCATTGGCCATCAAGTCACCGCTATGATTGGGCACACCAATGTCATAGTGCCGAGACCCCAGGCGAACTTAATCCAAAGGGGCGTTGCAATTGCTCCTGGTGTGCGTCCTCAAACACCTCAAATGAATCGCTTCAATGTGCCCAAAATGGTGGGGTTACCTGTCGGCAACCATTTCAAGCAAACCCTTGCAGGCAACTCCATGCTTGGTCACCCAGTACGCGTTACACTACCTGATAAAGCTTTCGTGTCTGGTGCGGTCTCCCAGTCACACACAGGAAAACACCTGGGCAGCTTTGGAGTACATGGTGCTACACATCTTAATGCCCAGTCGGCTTCTTTCTCCCCCTCGTTGAAGAGTCTACCTCTCTCTTCATCCGTGCATGCTGCTACTGCCACGTTGACGTCACTGCAGGCCAAGAAAGCTTCAGCCAATGCTCTGAACACCTCACAAACACAAAAGTGGAAGATTTGCACCATCTGCAATGAACTTTTCCCTGAAAGCACATATAGTGCTCACTTTGAAAAGGAACATCAGGCGGAGAAGGTGAGGGCGATGGCTAAATACATCATGAAGATTCACAACTTTACTAGCAAGTGTCTGTACTGTAACCGTTACCTACCCAGTGACTCTTTGTTGAACCATATGCTAGTGCATGGGCTATCTTGCCCTCAATGTCATTCCACGTTTCACGAAGTTGAGAAAATTGTAGCACACAAGCGGCTGGCGCACCCCAACGAGCCAGGGGATCCGCCAACTGATTCTCCTCTTACATTCGATCTCACACTTCAACAAGGAAGCCCCAAAAATGTTCAGCTTATTATAACCACCTACAACATGAAGGAGACCCCTGAAGCCTCTTCAGCTGCCAATCAACAGCCACAAAACAGCGCCATGGCTAAGCCTGCAAAGATGGCTGCAAAGCAGCCAGATACTCAAAGTGATTCTGTGGTCCGAAACATGTCCCAGTCTTCGGTGTCGCAAAAGAAAGAAGTTGGGAAGACACTCTGCCCACTATGCTTCACTATTCTTAAAGGTCCCATCTCGGACGCCCTAGCCCATCATTTACGGGATCGTCATCAAGTACTCCAAACATTGCACCCTGTAGAGAAAAAACTAA